TATATATATATATATATATATATATATATATATATATATATATATATATATATATATATTAAGGCTGTCAAACGATTAATCGCGTTTAATCACATCCAAAATAAAAGTTTTTGTTTGCATAATATGTAGTGTGTTTTGTGTTTTCACAATTTGAGTTGAATTACTGAAATAAATGAACTTTTCCACGACATTCAAATTTATTGAGATGCACCTGTATCTATCTATCGTGCTGTCAAACAAAAGTTTAATAAAAGTTTTTGTTTGCATAATATATGTGTGTTTTCGGTGTATATTTATTATGTATATATATAAATACACACACATACAGTATATATTTTGAAAATATTTACATGTATTTACATTTCTATATTTATATTCATATAATTTATATTATAAATAAATATATTTAATATATAAGCATAACATATTTTTCTGAAATATATACATGCACGTGTGTGTATTTATATATAAAAAATAAATATACACAGCACACACGCATATATTATGTAAACAACATTTTTTATTTTGGATGCGATTTATCGCGATTAATCATTTGACAGCACTTATATATATACTGTATATAATTTTATTTTATTTTTATTTATTTTTTACTTGTGGTAGTTTTTTCAGGAATTTTTGATGAATAAAAAGTTAAAAAGAAGACCATTTATTCAAAATAAAAATATTTTGTAAGAATGTAATATATCCTTGTTAAATAAAATTATTAATTTATAAAAAAAAAAAAAAAAAAAGATTTGACCCCAAATTTTTGAACGGTAGTGTATACAGTTACATTTCTATTTTGAATAAATGCAATTTTTTCAACATTTTATTCATCAAAGAATCCTGAAAAAAAGTATTACAAAATATCACACATATATTATTATACATACAAGCACCAGTTCACAATTTGCGATACCAATTTCTTTATCACTGCAAAAATTATTATGCTTCTGAATATGCTCCTTTATGTAAAATTAAATATTTATATATTTATTTAAAATAGTGTGCCACAGTGAATCGTATTCCACCTCATTCTCTTCAATCCCTGATAAAGCGGAGATTCTCATAGCCTGGTTACTCATGATGTTGGTGATGAAAAATGGTTGACATTAACAAGTGTTACAGTACAATCAATTTATCTTATCCGAATAGAACAGCTATACGCTGAAGGAATCAGAATACGGGCATTTATTAATGGCCTTCAGGCTCAGATATATAAATAGGAGAGAGATAACAGGGCATATACATCACGCCGACGTCTCAGGCACACATCGGTGAGAAATGACAGAGTGTCATTTTGAGCGATTGCAGGCCAAAACGCACGAATCACAAAACATTTCTAACGTTGAGGGGCCGCTTCATCATTCAGGATGACTACAATCAAAGACTGTTTCCATACAGGCGGCTTTTGTGGCATATGAGAAACCTACGCATGAAGATGACCTATCGGGACTCTACAATCAAAGCTAGGTCAACAACCACTTCAGGAAAATGATTCTCTTACACATCTATAATCACAATAATCACTTTAGTTGTTGTCATTACATAGTCAAATCATTGCTGTTTGTTTGAACTTCCAAAGCAGCCAGACACTGGTTCAACCAATGGCATGAGTTTAGGGCGGGACAATCTGTTTTTCTCAACCAATGGCAAATGAGGCAGAGGTTTTGATACTAGCGGTACAGAAATGACACACTTCAGCCTATAAAAGGATAGACAAGCATACTTAAATTGTGTACAGAAACATGCATATTATGTCTAAAACTGCTTCCCCGTGACAGTGCTGAGCAGTCTCTTCGCACAACCCTTGTAACCGCATGCAAATCGATGGGGCACAAGTAACCACCCACCATTACCAATTCTCTGTTGGCCACTCACCGTGTATGTGATCACTGCCAGCATGCCAATCAAGGTGAGCGAGCTGATGGAGAACGACAGGGCGGCCAGGCCATCTGCAAGACAGAGGGGAAATTTATTTATGACATGGGCCAAATGCAGAGCTCTGTTAAGTTTTGGTCATACGCCAGATATTCAGAGCAGTTCCTGCCCCCCAGGGAAATTTCTCAATGCACCTCATCTTCTTTCCTCTTACTCTGACATAGTTACTGAAAGGTCAGCAAAGTTTTTGCCCTCTAAATTTGAATAGACGCAATGACATGTTGAAAATATAAAGGTCGTTCAGGAAAGTTCTTCAAAAAAAATACGGCTTTATTTAAGTCAATATTAATACCAGTAAAATTTCACAATTCTTGATACCACAGCAAAAGCTAACATGCTACTAAACATTTTGCTTTATTTAAAAACGTTTAATATTAAAAGGTTTAATATTTGTACTATATTATATTAGATTAGATGGTTAGATTTAGATCATTTTTTATTTATTATATTTATTGTTGTTGATGATTAATAATAATAAATGTTCATATATAATTATTGAGCATAAAAGTGCTTTAAACTTAAAATTAAGTAAATTAAGTCAAATTTAAGCATTGATCTTCACATTTATCAAGTAACTGTTCAAGCAAATAATCTGTAACAAAATAAAAAAATAAACAAATTCTGAGAAATACAACCAATTAAAAATGTAAACAGTATATACCGTTGTTGTTGATAGATAAAAAATATTAATACAATATAAAAATAACAAACGATATTTAAACAAAGGAATGCACAAGTATATAAATGTACTTTTATAATTAGGTAGATTAAGCCAAATTTGATAAAGCATTAATTTTCACATTTATCAAGTAATTATTCAAGTAAATAATCAGTAATAAAAATAAAAAATTAACAAATTACAAAAAATATAATGAATTAAAAATCTAAAAAAAAAAAAAAAAAATTATTTCAATGTTAAAATTTTGTTTTTAGCTTGCTATGATAACCTCATAGAGATGGAAAGCAGCTTGCTAAAGCCAACTCACTCACTGGATTCTGGATTACAGGAAAAGAGAAAACGCACTGCTCCCAAACAATTATCGACAGAAATGTTATCAAACAAAAGTGGTGCAAACCTCTTTGCACTATATGGACTACAGGAGAGGTTCTCAACTATTTTGATTGAGAGCGATTTATCTTAATCTTATGGATCTTTATGGTGTTTGATAAAAAATAAAAACTATGAGCATAGACATATACTAGGCCTATATTTAATGCACAGACATAGTGAAAAAGCAAGGCACCAATATTACAATTCTAACTAATATTGAAATTATTTATATTCATGTTTTATTAGCCAATAAAGAATAAAATGAATAAAAAATAAATCAATTAAATGATGTAAAATTAAAATCACTATTCATTTTGAGATTTGCTAAAGATTATGTTTAACAATATTATTAAAATACTAGTGTTTTTAAATAACAACGTAATGCAAAATAAACGTTAATAAAAATAAATCAAATAAAATCTAAATGTTAAATAATTACATTCATGTTATAGCCAATAAAGAATAAAAGATGGAACCACCTTATGATACTAAATTTTTTTCTTCACTATTCTGGCTCATTACAGACTAGAGCTATGAATGCAAAACTATATAATCAAATCCAAATTAGATTCAACGTAGCTGATGCCTGATGCATTCTCGTCACACTACGTCACTCTAACTTCAATTTGAAATGTGACTCTCACTGAAACACATTCAGCTCAGCGGGAAGGTAAATCAGAGAACAAGAGCTGTCTGAGTGGATTCTGGGTCCGGGCCTCTGCTGCATAATTAGGTGGAGACTTTTATCGAGCCTATGTCTGTGATAAGATCAGATCTCCAGCTGTCTACCCTTCTGCACGCTCCCTTGCCCTCTCGCCTCAGTCTTATCCGCTAATGGGGAATCGGGTATTGCATTCAGTTTATGTTTTATGTCTGTTTCACATGGGGGAACCGGCAACTGAACCGATGCATATCTGTGGAATTGGTAATGGACAACCATGGCTTCTGTATGACACCGGGTGGAAATCGTCAGCTTGTCTTGCCGCTTGGGTCAAGGTACTCCTTCAGGAGCCAAGGCTTCTCAGAGACATGATAACCCTGCTTACATAGCACACAGGGTCTGGTTACTAATTTAACACGCGGAGTGGAGATGATGAGCAGGCTACCACGGCCGTCAACCTCAAGCTCTGCTGTAGATTTTGACAAACAAGCCTGTTTCAAAAAGGCCCTTTTTTTGCTTGAATTCCATTCATTAGGCCAGGACTGCTGGGAAGGGGCGATGACAGCTCAAAGACCCCCTCACAGGAATCAGGCACTGTCTAAAAGAGTCACAGACTTACTCCAGGCTATTATTGGATTAGGTTGGGTTCTTTAGTGGCTTCCATTCCTGCCAACTTGATGGTCTTCAAGGGAGAGTGACGCAAGTGTCACAACCCAAACTAACAAGGGAAGTTCTCTGAAGGAACACCATGGTGTTGGCAAATCGCACTTGCTTTCTCAGAGCAAAACAAACCATGGCACAAAAAATGACTTGTACTGGAAGTAAAAAAGACATGTGACTTGTTATGTGACCTTCAAATGAGCCTTCAGAATGTGATAAGAAAGGCTCTGGAGAACACTGACACAAAAATGCTCAACCAGTCCCTAAAATATAGAGAAAAATATATATTAAAAAAAAATTAGAAAAGGGATGATCCTTTGTCCTCAGCAGTGTGAACACTTTCATATTTTAGTGGACTTTGGTGCACTTTTTTCTTGCAAAACTTAAAGTTCAACAAAAATACAACACAAGAGAACAAAATCAATTAGGGGTGTTGATTTTGATGACGTCGATTTTGACGACGCTGATGGCTGCCTCCGTGGCGTGCTCCGCAGTTGTTTTTATGTTTTTGTTAGTTTGTCCTGTCTTTAGTTATATCCCTGCAATCAGTTTCACCAGAGACGAATTGCTGGACATTCGGAAGTACACACCACCCGATATTTCACCGGTTTTCGACTATTCGGATGTTTTGCTGGACATTGTTGTCGGGGGAGCTGTGGCGCTGATTAAGCGCTTCAGGATGCGCAGACGGGGGAAGCGAGCCGGCGCGCTCGTGAAGCTCAGGCAGCGCGGATTCAGGACGCAGTTGCCTAGCATCCATCTGGCGAACCTCCGCTCTCTACCCAACAAAACAGACAAACTCCTTATTCTCTCCCGGACAAATAAGGATTTTTCTAACTCTGCTGCTCTGTGTTTCACGGAAACCTGGCTGAAAGACGCCATTCCGGACAGCGCGTTGAGTCTTCCGGGTTTTCAGCTGTTCAGAGCGGACGGCGACGCAGAATCAACAGGGAAATTGCGCGGCGGCGGGACATGCT